TTTTTGTACAACAGAACAAAATGACATGTTTGGAATGACACAAGTGAGAAAATTATAACAGAATTTTAATTTCTGGATCAGCGTTTAATAACAGCAGTAAAATAGGCCTGATGCCTGAGACAGAAAGCCTCAAGTCACCATTTAATGCCATTGAAAGATGTAATAAAAATGAATGGTGACTGATCAAGCCAACTCTTTTAGTGTGAGTAAATGAAACAATTTTAATTTTAGAGTGAACTGTTCCTTAGATGTTACTCACAATACAGATCGATTCTGTAAATCAGTGAGTGATATTTAATCAATAAGGGAGCAGTAAATCACGAATCTGTCAAAGTCGATATAACAGCAACAAAATCTGCAGCTTGTCGGATAGCAGTTGATTCCAGCTAACACATGCTAACAGCTCGGGATAACCACAACAAGAGGTGCTGGTCACCAAGACATGTCATTTACTCAGCCGCCAACATCTTATTCATAATACTGTAACATTATATAGCATGACAACGCCAACTTAAGGCAAAATGAAACAACGGAGTCTTGACACACAGACGCGTGCTGGAATGACGTTAGCTCGCTAACCAGACTTATACGTTACGTTAATTTAGGATATCAGGGGCAGAGGAGGACCTCAGTGGTGTGTTTGAGGCCTGACGGGTAATGAATAAAAGAAGCTCACCCAGCGCCACTTGACAGGCCTTGCGCAGCTGGCTGTGTTGGCTCCGCTTCACCTCCTTATCCGCGAGGATTTTCTCCAGCGCCCGAGACAGAAACATGCTCTTAGTGCTCAGGCTTTCTGTCTGCGTATGCCGTCGATGGGTTTCCAGCTCTTCCTGCTCTTTCATCTCTCGGTCGACGTGTTAAAGTAGTCCGTCAGGCCGTCATCTCTGGCCCGTTCCCTGCGGTTTGGCAGGGGTGTGAGGGTGCCAGGAGCGGGCCGAGGTTGTCGCTAGTTCGGTTGGACGCTGCTATCTCAGCACTGCGTCGCCATGTTGGCCGCACGTCACATCACATCACATCACGTGACCCGCAGGCGCTGACGCGTACATTCATCGCTCGAGCTCGGTTTGGCTGAGGTGGAAATGAATGGGGCATGTGTTTAGTGGACAGTTCGGTCTCATAAAAAAATATATGCTGGCATGCAGTTTTAAGACATTTTAAACAGTGTGATCACCAGTATATAATTTATTTAAGTCGTGGTGAAAAAACTTCTCAAATGAAACGCCAACAAATAAATAATTAATACATATTATTTTCAATAACTGATTATTATAAAAAAATGTGTGATTATATTTGGTTCTAGGTGTCTATAAATAGTCATTTGAAATCATATAGCTACATACTAAGTAGCCTAATAATCATAACATATTGATCATTGTTGATTATGGAGTATATATTTTAAAAAGATAACACATTTAAAAAAGGTTTAAAACAATTACGATTACAATTACAGAACATGAACTAACAATATATAGGCTAAATATACTTTTATTATTTTACTGCATTATTTTAGTGTTATGTGTGCTCTGTCTTCCAGTTGTAGGCTACATATTGGGCCACAGATGCTGGAGAGGATAATTTAAAATCATTGTGGTCAAAAGTTTACACACACCTTGCAGAATCTGCAAATTGTTAATTATTTTATCAAAATAAGAGGGATCATACAAAATGCATGTTATTTTTTATTTAGTACTGTCCTTTATTTGTGTTTATTTTATATAAAATGTTTACATGTAGTCAACAAGACAAAATTATAGCTGAATTTATAAAAAATGTCCCTGTTCAAAAGTTTATATACACACTTGATTCTGTGTTGTTACCTAGATGATCCATGACTTGTTTTGTGATGGCTTTTCATGAGTCCCTTGTTTGTCCTGTACAGTTAAACTGCCCTTCAGAAAAATCCTTCCCACAAATTGGTTCTGTTTTCCAGCATGTTTTGCATATTTGAACCCTTTCCAGCAGTGACTGTATGATTCTGAGATTCATCTTTTCATACTGATGACAACTGAGGGACTCGCACTCAGCTAAAAGCTTCAAACAAACATATATATTATGTTTACTGCATTATTATGAAGTCATCATGTGGCCTTCCTTGTATCAACTGTGTTTTTATGAGTATATTTATAATAACAAACAGATATGAATAGCTCAAATATGGTGTGGTATATTTTTATTTTGCTATTGCCTTATGATTATTTTATTTTGTTAGTGTACAAAACCATTATTTATTAAAATCGTCTCTTTCCTTTTTCTATTATCTACTTGTTTTCTTTTTGTCATATGTATAATATGTATATACATATATATATATATATATATATATATATATATATATATAAACCATGCTACATGTACTGCGTTAGGCTAACCGAGACTTGTTATAGCAGTTGCATATTATTGCTCTTTTCTTGGTTTTGATTGCTTCTATTGTCATCATTTGTAAGTTGCTTTGGATAAAAGCATCTTCTAAACAACTAATTGTGAATGTAAATCCCAATAAAGAATCTCTCAATAATGGTGTAAAGTAGAATATAATTTTATAAACCGAATTCAGGTGTTGTAACAGTTGTTACAAACTGTACAGTATTTATAGTACAATACTCAACAAGGTTCTTATGGAATAACATTGACATTTACTTGCTTTTTAATAAATTACAAATATTAATTCATAAACCATGGGTATTTTAACTTGTGCAAAGTTCGATATAAAAATGAGAAAATCAAACTTCATCAGTTTGATATAGCTACACAGTTGAAGCAGAAGACTGAATGCTGTTACATGCTTTAACCACAGGGTGGCCTCCTGACATCAGAGTTCAGGCATTGAGTTTTACTGCCCTACATCTCTCAGCACTATGGTGTAACTTAACATATAATGTTCAATTTATGATATAGATCAAATAAATCTTATATAAAGTTTCCAGTTGTTTAAGAGTTTTTAAAGTAGCACTGAAACAGCAATGTCAAGCTTTTTTTTTTTAACCACTGGCTGCAATAATGATGTTTTAACATGAGGCTAAATAGTTCTTTTTTTTTTTTTACAAAAGTTCTTGTTCAAATCCTCTAAAAGACAAAACAAAACTAAACAAAACAAAACAAAAGCATAAATACAGTATGTCTAATTCCAATAATTTAGCAAAGGTAGAAGTTGCATAAGACATTTAAACCCATCCTATTTCATTCCTGTTATGTTATTTTAAAGCATGTTTTCTTTAAAGCAGTTCACTAGTCCTAAAGACATAAAGTGGTTTTGTGTGTATTGTAAAAAGCTCTTTACAAATAAACTTGACTGATCAAGCTAAGGCTGATTCTTCAGCGTATATTTCAAACTGACACGCTCTGGTTATCACAGATAAAAAGAATTTTTCATGACCAACACACCAAGCAAGGAAAAGCATCAGTGATTTTCTACATATTAGTTTATTTCATCCAAGACTTGAGTATAATACATGTGCATCTATGTCTTAATATAGTATTTATCATTTTAAAAGTTTCATTATGTGAAACAAATTTACATCATGTAGTACTAATAAGAAAATACTGACAATTTCAGTACAAATCTATACCTTAAGATTTATCTGGCAAGCTCATTATCAAAAAGAGAAATTGACACATGAATGATAATGCTTAAAAGCCCATTTCTATGTCTCTCAAAGCAGGTGCTCATAGATATATGGTCTCCTTTAGAAATGCAAAGATATTCACAGTTTGGAAAATAGCAAGTTATTCTTCCTATTTCTATTCACCCCCTAAAGGTCTGAGCATTAAGTTCCACCAAAGATGCTATAGTGGAAAAAATTAGAACTTCATTTTGTTGAGATGAAAAAAAGAATCAAAATTATGAGGTTTTTATGTCAGCTAAAACAAAGCAAGTAAAAATACATAGTCTATTTTAAAATAAATAAAACTTCTGTGGTTACAATCCCAAATCGTATGTAGCGGTTAATATAAAAATAAATTAACACAGCTAAAGACTCCATTCAATATGTCGTTTGTACCATAAAAATGAATGATCAGGATGAAGTGTGTATGATCACAGCTACAGTGCATGTGCTACTCCAAGCAGGTATGGTAATGTAAGTGCCATGAAAAGCGATTCTCATCAGCGATTATAAAGCGATAAAAAGGGGGAGCTAATGAAAGGCTACTTCGGCTAAATCTCCAACAGCAGGTCCTAACTGTAAGAGCGTAGGCACATCTGTCTCCCGTCAGTCTCTTCCAGTGTATCCACTGACACACACTTTGAGATCTCAGAAGATCGTATTGAAGCTTACAGCTGTGACATCATGCATATCATTATGATATGTATGTATAAGGATGAAAAGGGGAGAAACGTACCTACAGTCATTTGAACTTAAAGGAATGCTTTCAAAGTAAGAGCATGACATTTGTTCATTTGTCCAGTTATTCGTATAAGAGATTTTTAGAAATCATAATTATCACTCAAGTAGGAAGACCTCACTTTACCGTACACAGAGAGTGAAGGGTTTGTGAGGGTATGGAAATTAGATGACAATATGATTAATTGTGCATTTTTGACAAGACTTCACAACAGATTTCAACCAGTTGAATTAAAAAAAATAAAATAAATGATCCAGGTCTGTCCCATAGTAACGATGAAATTAACCCAACTGCTACATACTTTCTGAAAGGTTTGGCTGGTACTCTGCTGACATGCACAAAAAAAGAAAAAAAAATGTTTTTTTAAACCTTTACATACAAAGAGGGGAAGATACTGAATATTTTGGTATATATTCAATATTCGTAGTAATTTACTACAAATTAAGGGTTGTTTTCTCCATAATTCGACTGCAACACTTATTGTTAGAGGTAACACTTTAAAATAAGGTTCAATTTGTTAACATTAAATAATGAGTTATGTGTCATGAACCAAAAATTAACCATTTTTACAGCTTTTCTTAATCCTGGTTGATGCTGATTCATACATATACTATTGTTCATGACTCATGATACATTATCTAATGTTTATTTAAACTTTAAACTTTAACTTAAATGTTAAAAAGTAAATATTAGTGTATGCAGAAATGAACTTTAACACAGATCATGTAAAAATATTATTAATAGTTAGTTAAGATACCTAATGCATTAAATGTACTGTATAGTTCACCCAAAAAAAATATAAATTCTGTCATCATTTACTCACCACCATGTTCCCAACCGGAACTCTCCATGTATGGAAATATCTGCTTTTATGCTCCACAGAAGAAAGACAGTTATAAAATGACACAAGATCTGAGTAAATGATGACAGAATTTTCATTTTTGGCTGATCTATCTAATGTTAACAAGCTGAGCCATAGTGAAAAGTGTCACGGTAGAGACGCTCTTCATAAATGAAACAACCATGTGTCCACATCAGAGGGCTCCCTTGAAACATTATTGATAATTATGTATTCCAAAACCCCAGACAGGGTTATCAAGTAAAGATCAATGGGTAAAATAAATCACAGGTAGCAAAGAGCAGGATGATAGCCCTTGTCATAAAGAAATATAAGTGATACCAATAAAACATATCAGTATGAAAAATGTGATATTAATCATTTGTCTTTTTGGCTATGATTAAAAACTTCTGAGATAATAAAAGACATCTGTATCTTAACCGAGGCAGCAGTCTACAACTGTCCATTCACATGAAAATATCTCCTAAACATTCACTCAAGCCCGACAAAGGTTCACGATTCCCTTGAATACCACAAAGAATCGGTAAGCTGAGAGTGTTAGTGTTGCAGACGGGAATGGATGAAGAGCTTATTTCAGTTCCTTCTGAAGTTCTGCAGCTCAGACATACTCAGTTACCATGGTAACGCAGAGGATGGGTAAAACCCATTGTACTTTGTTCTCTGATAACACTAGAGCCTCATGGCTCTGAAAGGAGTGGTTGTCAAAGTAAAAAAGGATTGTCATGACTCATACGGTGCCGTCTGCATTCATTCAATCACACTGACTCAGGAAGTTCATTATTACTCAAGAAGCAGCTATTTTTGGTGCTGTGCTGCTCTCCACGGGTTTGATGATGAGAACTACCTGGTCCTATTGTTATAGAGAAGTGCTGTAAGGTGCTGTGGTGGACTGGCCTTCTCTTTTGGTCCTGGACATGCATTTTCAGTCCTATGGCACACAAGAGTATGTATTGGCATGTGTGTGTGATTATATGTTGTGCGTGTCTTTACAGTGTAATGACTGTGCCCTCCTCCTCTATATTTCGCCCTTCTAATACCCTGTCACGGGTATTCAGAGACCCCGCGCTCGCGCTGCTTGCCTTGGTACCATTTGAGGGGCGGAGGTCGAGGTGGGGCTCGTATCTGGGCAAGGCGGGCATGCTGGTGCTGGATGTCGCCCGCGCCCCTGCCTGCGGAATAAGTTTAGCCCCTCCGTCTGCCTCGATCACCAGATCCTCCTCCTCCTCGCTCTCCTCGTCCGGTTCATAGTTCTGGATAATATGGGACGGGGTCATCGCCATCGAACCCGGTGTCGAGTATCCATAAAAACTGGTGCTGCTGTCAGAAGATCGTCCTGAGCTGCCGCCTCCGCTGCTGCGTACCACGTTATTGCGCTGATTAGCCGGTTTGACGGTTATAATGAGGTTGTGGCTGTTAGCGATCATCATGTCCGTAACTTGGTCCAAAGACTTTCTGCTCACCTCGATGCCATTGACTTCGAGCACCTCGTCGTTGACGGCCAGCAGTCCCGTGCTCTCCGCCAGGCCTCCGGGGACCATGCGGGAGATGAAGATGCCCGGGACCTTTTCCAGGCCTTGGGGTGTAACGCGCACGCTGGAACCATCGCGGATGTAGAAGCCCAGTGGTTTCTCTTGACCGTGTTTGTAGAGGCGGACGCGGCGGTGCGTCTCTGGGAGGATGTCCACGTCGATGATCGAGGACACTGGCCGGAAATCTTTGGGCAGGCTGATGATGATAGGAGGCTTCTTCTTGTTGGCTTCCGGTCGAAGGAGGACCGCTGCGAGCGCCGCCGGGGTCTTCTTACGGGTCACAGTGTCCGTGCCGAATGCAGAGTAATCTGCCTCCTCTGCACAGGAAGAAGAAAGAGAAAGAGAATGTAAATATGTAACGTTTGTGTTAGACATTGCAACTTAAAGGAATATTGTGTTTAGTTTATTTAGTGATGGGTTGCGATGGTCAAATCATTCAACAACAACCACAAATTAAACAAACTATTTTTTGTATATATTTAATTTTTGCTTGTTTTTCAAATAAATTATAAACAAAGAAAAACAAACACAAAACACCTGGGGAAAAACTAAACACAAAACAACTAAACAAAACAAAAATAAAATGGGTAATATAGTACAACAACTAAAAGTGTGGGCATTAACACTTTTCAGTAGCTTTGTAAATAAATGCCGTACAATATCAGCATATTTTTGTTAATGTGAACAACAACTTTGATCAAGTCATGTTTAATTTAAATAATAAATGAAAATAATATAAACAACTTTTTTGTTTGTTTTACTTAAAACAAAACAAAACAAAACAAAATGGTTAATATAGGGCAACAAAAAAACAAAACAAAAAAACAAAACAAAATGGGTAACAACAACTTTGATCAAGTCATGTTTAATTTAAATAATAAATGAAAATAATATAAACAACTTTTTTGTTTGTTTTACTTAAAACAAAACAAAACAAAATGGTTAATATAGGGCAACAAAAAAACAAAACAAAATGGGTAATATAGGGCAATAACTAAAAGTGTCTAGACGCTTTTCAGTGGCTTGGTCAATGCAATTTATTATCAGCGTTATTGTGCTTGTAAACATATATTATCTGTGCATGTTCATTATTTTTTATTATTTATCACGTTCAAATTATGCATTTTTTTAATTTTTTTGCTCTTGTTGGACTATTCCCACAGCTCTGTAAGGAGAGACCTGCAGGGTAGAGAATGCCTGCTTGTTAGTTTCCCTCCGCCCTTCAGCTAATGTGTAAACTACTGTAAACCCAAGCCTCCTTTCAACCTCTCTCTCTTTTTCTCTCAGCTGCCATTTATGAATTCCTCAGAGGCTTAATCATAGCCTGGACTTTCACCTGTAAGACATTCATACTCAAGATCAAAAAGGAGAATAGAGTAGGAAGGGAGAGAGGATATAAATGCATGTGAGTGATGCTCTCTCTGAAATGTCTGAGAGAGTTCAAAGCAGTACCATGTGTTTTTCTGAACTCCCATTAACCCGAATGAACAATGGTTAACCTGAGAGATGTAATTATTAACAAAAACCACCATGTTATAAGATTATAACTAACATTTCAATTATGTTATTTACTGATCTTTTGTATCAAGGGTTGTGATGTTTTTATGGATTTTTTTAATGCCATAAATCTGAATAGTGCCTCTAAAATGAAAAGCATCTTCTTCCAATGTGTTTGTTTAACCAGGAACATGCGTCTGTGTGATCTAGCATGCGAAGAGATTTCACGTCAGCCCAAATATAGTCAAAACACACACACACACACACACACACACACACACAAGATTGATTGTTGGTCAAAGGTCCCCACAGCCAGTTCCCACCAGAAAACTATCTGGATTGTCCTTGTGTTTTGTTTCAACATGAATATGCAGCCTGTGTTGAAATTTTAACAATAATTTGGCAACTTGCCTTCAGTACCTGCAGACATCATAAAAATGTCTTTCTGACCTAATAGAGCTGAGGTTTATTCACAAACACGCAGCATGCACACACAAGTCTCAGCTATGCAAGTTTGGCTGGAGCGGTCGAGCATGTATGGAGGTCTCTTTTCATCTCCTCCAGAGTTCTTCTCCTCTCTTCCTTCCTTATCTGCTCCACTCTTCCATATTAAAGCCTAACAATGGCTTCATAGTGAGTGTTGAAGGGCAGCATGGGAAGTCCCTTAGGGCCACTCAAACGGGCACAAACTAGCTTTTCTGTTGGCTCAGAGGTCGAGAGGAGAAAAAGTGAGAGGATGCAAAAAGCAGCTTACAATATATGGAAACCGCATCACGTTAACGGACACACAAACCTCTATCATCTCACTTCCTGAACGCAGGACAGCTGGCTCTTTGTGAAACCTGACGCTACAGAAACCAGTCCGGTTATAATAGCTCATTACAAACATGCTGGAGAAGGTCCACACACAAGCATACAGGCCAGGGCTGGGTTTTGACACAAATTTCACGATTCGATTCAATTCTCATTCAAACATAAATTAAACATTGAAGAACAGTAAAAATGTATAATGAATATGTTATATGGTGCATATATTTAGCAAAATGCCCCTCTCCACAGTTTTATTTCTATCCGACTAATGAGTTTATGGTCACAGAATATGTTTTTCTGAGGTAAATGTAACGTTACGTGACTTTGTTTACAAGCCATTATATTGACGTCTTTGCGCGGCTGAAACACTGATTGAGCGATTACATGAGACAGAATA